TCGTCTCGCACTTCTTCCACTTGGCGAACATCTGGTTTTGTCGGCTTCGTAGACAAGTGCGTAGTATTCGCAATTCGACGTCCAATACTTGGTGACTGTCCTCTGGTAGACCGCATACGTCGTGTAGTCGTCTTCGTTTGATGAAGTTCGGAACGACTTGATGTTTTAGACAGCGGCGGAGAAAGTGAATTGACTGTCGAGCTAAGACGATCTTTTGTCTCAGTGACAGCGCTTCTTTTACAAGTCGGAAGTATCTTGCTGGTACATCCTGCAGTAACTGCCACGACCGACTTTCTATTAACCTCGGCATTGGTCAAGTGATTTTGTTCGTATTTTTTTTGAGATTTACTGTTTGTGATCCGACTTGTTTGCATGTCCATTTCAAGGAGTACAGCATTTCTGTTCAAAATGAGCACAGCGATTTTGTAGGTAACATAGTAGCTGGATGCTGCTGAACTAGTCAGAGGTCAAGAATTTGAAGCGTTCAGTGGGAAAGGATTTATATCAGTCAAAAAGTAGCGTTTACTGTTCCTCTCCTTACTTCATCTATAATTCACGTCAATATGACACAATAAGAACAATAAATACCTTGGGCATTCGAAATGGAAGTGCTAGGGCGTTCTACTCAAATATGGGAGGACGACTAAGCAGTCCTCTTGGAGTCGTTGTCATTTTTAACGCATGGAGGACTACTGGTAACTTGTTACAGTAGATGCTGATAGACTATATATATATATATATATATATGCATATGTATACAAAATATACGGTTTATAATAAGAAAGCTCTGTAAATTCATTGTTGGAGACTTCAACGCCAGATTAGGAACGGCTTATGGAAATGATTACGGGATAGCGAAATTCGGCATAGGAGAAAGAAAAGGAAATGGAAACTTCCTCGTAGGACTTATGTCCGCAGAAGGATTCTTCCATCAGAACTAGTTTTTCGAAAAAAAAGAAAAACGCCGATAAATATGAGAGTTTCCTAAAGGCACGATTCACGCGGAGATCTATCATATTCTCACCAACAAAAAATGGTGCTTCTTTGACACCTCAGTGATAAATGGATTCTGTGCAGCGTCTAATCACTGCCTTCTCCGAGCGAAGAATTCATTCAGCCATAAGCCAGAAAAGAACTACTGCTAAAGTTCAAAAAAAAAACAAAGAAACTTGTGTATCCGCATCTCCATTACCACCATGGAGTTGCGAGAGACACCGAAGCTTAATCGTACTGCAATAAGCCTATCGATTTTGGTGGATCTTGAACTTGAGAAAGGTTTCGAAGATCTGGGCTGGGAATTCCGGCAAGACACTGTAATTCCTGGTTATGTTTCAGAAGACACTCCACTTTCATTAAGTGGTCTATAGGTACTGCGTGGATTTCTTGACGTGGTTGAAGTGTCAGACCGCATTTCTGCTGCATAACAGAGAGTTGGTATGATTGCTGAACCGAAAAGGTGAGCGTGGAGTCTTGGGTCCGTTAGTTGGTCGGTAGCTTCATTAAGAGGCCCGAATGCGGTTCGTGCTGTTCTCTTTCTTCTGTCTAATTCTCCTAACATATTGTTTTCCATGTTCACTGAATGCCCAGCGAACACTTACAAGGTGGTCTACGTAATCGAAAAACCATGCAGTTCGAGTTGTTCGCTCTCGTACCACGGATTTTTCTGATCAACTGGACCTTCTTTTGATTTATGCGCACCCCGGTCATTTTTCTCCCGTGTAGTTGAACTCCTTCATTCGTCTCGGCCTTATTGGTAATTCTTCGAAAGATGGCTAAGAAAGCTAGTAAAATGAAGATTTTGCATGAATTTTCAATCAGTTTGTATGTACTTTCCGTACCAGTCGAGGCTCGTCTTTACCAAATGCACTGCTGCCGTAAACAACTTTGGCAATATTTTGTCACCTTGTCCAACCCCTTTTACTACGAATTTGGTAAGAGGCCAATGAAAAAGCTGTATTTTCGTGGTGCAGTTCCGATAGCAGTCAAAAAGATTTCTTATATAAGGCGGCTCCACTCCTTGGTCGACGAACTCTGACAAGATTGTAGTCGTTTCGACACTGTCAAACGGTTTTTCGTAGTCGGCAAAAGTCAGGACAAAAAGCAAGTGATATTCCCGACAAGATACTATGACAGCAGACACGGTTTGGATGTGGTCCACGCATAATCCCTGCCGAAATCCTGCTTGCTTATTGCTCATGGAAAATCCGAGGTCTTTGAAATGCGCGGCAGGATAATCTTCACGAGAAGCTTGTGCAGTGCACTCAACAAACATATCGAACGATAGTAGCGAAGATTCCTTCGGTTAACCTCATTGGGATGGATGGCCGGACAGAACGTTCTTCACTGAGCCACGATTCTATTTTTTTTTTATTCATTTTGCAGTGGCGTGTCGCGCATGTGCTCGTCAGGTCCGGACCCCATGACTGGATAATTGATGGCCTCTCACCAGTCGTCTCACCGCCTGGTGTCACAACCGAGAGTACCCAGGGTATGGAGTACTGCGACTTGCCTGTTGCTGGTTGGGAAATCTCACCTTGTCTAGAGTCTTAAGTTGACCGTAAAAACGAGTTTTCAGGTCTTCATTACGAGGTAGATCTGAAGGAGGTATTTTTTTCAGCAGAGATTCATTCGTTCACTCTTCAAACTAGTTGATCCAACACGGTATTAAAGTCCAAATCAAAAATGAAAACAAGAATGGAAAAGTTGTCGACCGCTCGATGGCGATTTAAAAACCGAAAGTCTTTTTTTAGCTAGAATTAACAAAGTGCAAATTAAATCCTGTGGATCATCCTTATCTGGGCACTTTAAGTGGTCTAGTAAACTGGCAAGCCGACGAGTCATCTTTTGCCAAGGGAGTACCCTACAACAGCCGGCATAGACAGTACATTGTCCATACGTCCCTGCTCCATAGAACAATATGGACAGGTGTGGTGTCGTTTTCAGCTCAGTGGTTCCAGAACTTCTTCACTGTGCTTTGTATCTACGTCACAGGTAATCGGAAGAAAATCAAAACAAAAGGTTTAGAGCAGAAAATCCACTCTCTACGTCTAATAATTTAGAAAAAACCCTTTTCGAAAAGTTCTCGAGAACCACTATGATGCTGAGATATTTGCAAAACTTAGACCTCAGGCCAACTTTGAACTCGCGATTGTATTTCACGTAACATCATGCCGTGAAAATAAAAATAATAAACGGTACATAAAAAGTAGATATAGTTCATTGACAACTTAGTTTGACTAACAATTAAAATATACCTCATTTTAATCGTTACAGTTTTTCTTCGGAACGTTCAGATAAAGAAAACACTGAAACAGACTCAACAGGGTGCAAAATAGTTCCAACTGTTGACAGCACTGTATCTGAATAATGAAGCATAGCAACATATATTAAGTATTAGTATACACACTACTCCTACGGTTTACCACTTCATGGGTGACGGGCTGCGATATACAGCGGGGATACACTTCTCCAGCAGGGATTCCCAATCTAAGAAGGACTGCGGCGTTTCCATCAGGAAGGCCAACTAATAGACGAAAACTAGGATCTACCGCCATCCTGGTGTCAAATTAGTTGCATGGCGGAAAATCCTCCTTTGATCCACAAGGGCGGCGACTGCCTGTGGTGGTGACGACAACCTGGGGCAGACTTTGGCCTGGCTGACCTTAGGACTCAAGTGAATCACAGTGGCTAAACCAGTAAATCGCCGAAAAAGTGGAGATTGTGCTGGGGTCCGCACAACCAATGAGGACGGGCCGTCCAAGTATCCAACGAAATATACATTAGTATGTAACAGTGGAATGATAAAGTAAAGTCTTCTATAGAATTTCGTCATGTTCACAAGCATTGAGGACTTCTTATTCAAAAATTACTTTTTGTTGTCTAAAACCGGAAACTCCACAGCTGATAAAAAATTGCTCGTACTGCACTAGTTCAACCGCGCTGAACGCTTGTCATCCATTATGCAATAAAAATGAATCAAATGCGATCATTTCTTTCTTACGAGATGAATGTGGTTCAGACGATGATCTGCTAGTCTCTGCTTCAACGGATTGACATACACCATCCGTAAACACGAGGTATCATTCGTGCATACCTCAGTGTGTGTGTGTTTACAAATGTGCAAATTGTTCCCATCATATTAGTTTAGTCAAAAGTCTGCACAAAAGTAAGAAGTAACTGGAAGCGATTGTACTTTAGGGAAACGCTTTCATCGAATACACTCCCAAGCCCAGTTTGGCGTAACCCAAACAAACTACTTGTGAGCATACCCAGTCCCAAATGAGAGCCCTGCGAGTAGCCAACAGAATCCTGCTCGTTCAAAATAGTGCAAATGAATGGCTTCATTCCAAAATTGTGACGTTTGCCATATCCTTGAAGCAAGTAGATATTACTGTTCTAGTGGGCGAAATGGACGGGTGAAAGCCTAAATGATGCGCATTGGACATCCTTCACTTGTAAATAAACCACATGGGATAGAAATAGTTTTCATTTACGAAACTCTAACAACTTTTTTTCAGTAAAACCATACTTGATCATTTCTTGTACACTGAAATTTGAAATTAGGAGCACGGCCACCCATTAGCGCTCTTGTGGCCGACTGCAATGCTTGCGAATGGCCCTTGGCCTTTAGTTTGAAACGAATCTTAAAAAAACCCTAAGGGCGCCTTATTATATCTTTTTTCGCCAAGTTAACTATGTCGTCATATGTGCATCTTTTGTGAGGATAATGAGAGACGCTATTTTCCTATACAATAGAAGAAGTAAAAAAAAATTAAAAATCGATCAGATAAGAATCTCATACTTTGAAGAAAACGAAGAAGAAAATTAAGTCCAGACTGAATTTTTGAGATGACGATTATTCCTGAGTGAAAAAAGAAGAACCAGAAGAAATAAAGTGCAAACGTCAAATGTAGTTGGCAGCTAGGAAGAGAAGAAATTCTACTTCACTGAAACAAAATGCTAAGATGAGGGAAGACAAAACAGGAAGAGAATGAAAGGGAATGCTGATCGCTGGAAACGGACGCGACGGAGATGCTCACGTTGGTGACGGTGGCCGTTTGTTCGGCCTCTGCCTGCCTGTCTTCGCTGTCAGTTTCTCATTAAAACATTTCACACACATATAAGCGCAATCGCTGCACATCGATCAATCACATGCATTTCTATCGATCGAGACCTTGTGCTTATCGTACAGAGAAGCTGGAAGGTCCTAGGAACCGACCGTCGTTTAACCTCGGAAGCAGTAATCAATACCTTCTTGGAATGTTAACCTAACACGAGGTTGTTACCACATATCTATTCGGCTAACGTTTCGACGTCATCGTCTTCCTCAGAGCCGATGATCCGAACCGATGGTTCACAGTCGTTTGTCTTCTCGATGTGACGTCTTCGTCGTCGTATTGGAGTCGAATCTTCTTCAAGGGAGAACCGAATGAGGCTACCACCAAGCAGCGCTCTTTTTTACATGACGGTTGTTATTAATAATGAACACCTTAAATGTTGTTGTCAGTAACAAATTTCCTTGTCAATTTTATGTTAGCTTAATAACCCAAGAAAGTATTGTTTATCAATGCCGAAGTTAAATTGAGATCGGTTTAAAAAATAATCAATAATGTTCTATATCGTCGGGCTGACATGAGGTTGGTATGGAAGCTACTATTCGGCTTTCGTTTCAGAACCTTCGCTTTCTTTGGGAAGTTCCGACAGCAAATCCGAGTGAAGCTCCCCATTCAAGCGGTGTCTCCTGTACTGAATTCGATTTGATGCGCTTACGAACACCCACTTCTCAGCAACTACCAGCCATGGACCATCGACTCGAATCAAGGTGGCTCAGAAGAAACCGAAAGCTTCGAAACGTTAGCCGAGTAAAAGTTTTCGTACGAAGTTCCCGTCAGCTTAGTCATGCAGAAAATCACTGCTGGAAGGTGTATTACCCTTTTCGTCTGGCATCCATCTCCACACAGTCACAATAGCTATCCCAGAACCCATATCGAAGGTATCGAGGGGATCAGATGCTTTGCAAATGAGCGAATTCGGTGGGAACTAATGAAAAACCATCTTGATGTCTCATGAAGGCATAATGTGATTCCGTGATGAATTTCCTTAATGGTTTATTGCCTCATTATTGCTTGGAAATGTTCCAATATATAGCGCAGGTCAACCCCCGATTAAGAAGATTCCAATTTAAGCTTGCCGTTTGCACATTGGAAACTCGGATGATGGATGCAGCTTGTCTTACCACTATATTCTCATCCATGGCAATGTGAATAAAAAGACTCGTACTAGTAGATTGTGAAGTTCTTCATGTCTTTTGAGAGTGCGAAACTCATTGCACAGCTCTGGTAAACGATAAGAACAAATAGTGGTTTAATGGCACTCGCATAGAGATCTCATTGCTTAAAGGCTAATGCAGACAATTTTGCAAAAAAAAAAAATAAAATGATAGAGCTTTCGGGTTTGATCAATCCCTGAGGGATGCGCTATGCATTCGACTTCATTGAGTATCGTTTGGAGGTGATTGAATGCATATCTGATCTTTACAATGACTCGCGATGGCCTACCGATGTATCGAGGCAGTGCTGCTATCTTCCTAGACAAGTCTGACACCAATTTTCCAACTTCGGAGTGATGGAAAGCTTGGTGGGCCATGGGCGCGGGGATCAATTCCATCGTGTATGTTGCAGGGCGCCTCCGACCACTGCGCCACATGCGCACTACAATTTTAAATGATTACGTTTTTTAAAGGAGACACAGAAATTGGCTTTGAGTGTATTCGTCAATTTTTTCTTTTTTCCAGCATTTCCTTCATTTTTACATTTATTCATTATCATAACCGCTGAGTGACATGGTCGAATTCTGTAGAAATTTTTTTACAATTCACTTCCTTTGATGAGTCGAATTTACACTATGTAATTTGTTTGAATGCTTCTGGATAAGGGAATAGGTGGTATTTAAAACGAGCCAGCAATGAAGCAGCAAAATCGACTTTAGCAACAACAAATGGCGTTGGTAATAAACTAGGTCATAGACAGCTAAGAGGCGGATAGCACTGTGGTATTCATGCCGGTTATCACGAGTATGGTGCTAGTTCGATTCCGCTCCGGGCCAATCAAGCCTCTCATCCCTCCAGGTCGGCAACTTGGTACCGGACTTGTCCGGGAAGGAAATTGCGCTCTGCAATCCAATTGGGAACGCTCCAACCCGGCTATCCCAGGACTCCAGGGGAATTGCTCGACAAGCATTCTACGACATTCAAGATGAAATGAAAATCCTCGAGTAGCAACCGAAGCCACACGTAAAAGTTGGAAGATCTTTATGAACAATGGATGCGAGGGAAACGAATCGAACGTGAGAAGTGCTGGAATCCGCACCGTAGACGTGGAGTAAAATAAAAATAAGAATAAAATAGACTTGCAACAGAACTAAGAGATATACTTTACCTCTTAATATACGAAAATAGTTAAGTATGACTACGCCATCAATACTGCAAAACACTTTTCCACTTTCTAAGTATTCCAGCAACCTTAACCATTTTATTTACTACCCGCTCTTTTTAATGGTAGCGTATATTGTGAAATATAAGTTCAACGGTGCTGAGATATTTGCAAAACTCCAGACCCCAGGTGTCTGCGGTGGGAAACGAGAGAGCTATTGTCCTTTCCGGGAAGTAACATGTTCACCACCACACCATGCGGGCCCTTCGTTTCGCCTGTCTCTCAGCTAGTTCTATCGATCATCTGTGCCATCAGCAATCACCCGTCAGCCTCAGGTGAACTGGGTTCGCTGCCGATTTGGGTTCTGCAGGCCAATCCCTGACAAGTGATTGCTGACTACAAAAGATAGATAGAACTAGCTGAGAGACAGGCGAAACGAAGGACCTGCATGGTGTGGTGGTGGGCGCATTACTCCCCGGAAAGGACAATAGCGCATTCGTTCCCCACCGCAGACACCTGCACCTGAGGTCCGGAGTTTTGCAAATATCTCAGCATCATCGAAGTTATGTTTAAGAGCATCCAAACATAATCACAAGGATGCTGAGGCTTGAACAAAACTTGCAACCTTAAGTGAGCGATCAACTTTTCCGGGGCCTCACTCACTGCATCAACCGAGGCCTTTGCGTTGCCCTTCTCTCGGCCAGTTTTCACGGTGCTATCAACAATCATCATTTAGCGGGAATGATCTGTTGAACATAAATAGGCAATGAACCCAGATAAGCTGAAGCTTTATTCAATATTTAGCATTTATTTATTCCATATTGCTTTTTAAGCAGTAAATAAGCAATAAATAAAACTAAAGTACGTAAAAGTAACCACAATGATGGTGTGATATTTCCAAAACTTGGAACCTGGTCCGGATCTAATCGTGATTACCCTTTGCAACCTTTCCTACCGTCAGCGTAACGCAACGGTATATTGTACAGTTTACAGGGCAGGTAGAGAAAAATCCTGCAGGCTTTAATACTTAGTCCACATGACATTTTTTAGCTTAATACATGAAAAAAAGCGTTAGAATGGAGAGCGCAGAACATATGTACATCGAAAAAGATCTGGGTCAAAGCAAACATCATTGAACACCATTACCTCATACTTTCGGGTACAACTTGGGTAACGGATGTTGATTCGGATAAAATTCTAGAATCGGTTCCTGGTGAAGCATATCGCTAGCAGTTCAGTGGTAGGTTCAACAAATAATCCTCTCCTCTACTCCAGTGAGCACGACAAGTTACGCTTCAGTGAGTATAAGAGCATAGAATATGATGAAGGAGAAACGCGTTTGACAGCTCTCAAACGCGATAGTTATGAAAAGAGGCTTTTTTGGTGCCTACTTCTGACATTTCACGATTACTTGGATTTTGCGTGATAATGATTAGGGTTTCTTCAAATTTCCGAATTAGGAAAGAAATTTTTCTTTTCTTCACTGTCGGTTCGAAGCTCGTCTTGTCACGTTATAACTAACAAAAGTCATTGAACTGAAACACCAACCACTAAACTTATAAATAAAAACGATGAAACAAGGTCGAGTGGAAATGATTCTCATAGAGTTCACGACTTGTAGATACCCGAGGATTTCACTCTCCCGTGGGGAAACACGCGACCTAGGAGCGTGCACGGGGTTGCTGAAGCTAATTTCAAGGATGCTAAGTGCATCTATAGCGGTTTGGACTCCTATTTCACATTTGTGCCTGAGAAAACAACGAGAAGAGAGAGGACGATGGCGATAAATATCATTATCCACTTCAGTTCACCTCTCTCCCTCTTTAATAACAAACCTCTTTCTACCTTAGCGTATGAAGGAATATGATAGGATGGTTTTGAAGAGAGAATGACATCAAAAGCTACACACTGTTCCTTGCACCCTCTTAGATCGATCAGTCGAGACTAATCATAGATATTTCTGCTGTCTTAGAAGGAACACTGGAGGAGAATCGCAGACTGTTAAGCTGCAATAGAACTTGCCCACGAACAGTACCAATTCGATTTATGATGCTTGTAGGAGAACAAGACTAATAGCAAAAGTGTTCTAGTTCACAAGACGTACAAGAATAATTAGTCTAAATATATGAATAAGTGAGTGATTACCTCAAAAAGACCTACAGATCCTTTATAATATCTATTTCCAAGCCAAACATCACCTGCTACGTCAAACACATGCTTGTAATCATATCTTAGTTTATTACTTACTTAGATACATGGATAGCCCATCCTCACTGGTTGTGCGGGCCCCAGCATAATCTTCATTTCTTCGGAGACTTGCTGGTTTAGGCAGTGTGGTTCCCTGGATTTCCGAGGTCAGTCTGGCCAAAGTCCGCCCCACATCTCCACTACAGACAGTCGCCGCCGTTGTGTATCAGAAAGGTATTTGCCAGCATGCGACTAATTTGATACCAGAAAAGTGGTGGATCCTGGTACTGGTTAACTCTTAGCAGGGCTTCCTGATGGAAACGCCAGACTCCTTTCAAACTTGGTGGACCTGGTGTTGCCGGACCCCTCGGTTGAATTTCTCCGTTGTAAATCGCAACCCGACAGCCAGAAACACCTCTCAACCACGATAACGTGGTA